TATTTGGGCATGTAACTTTTGACATTGGGCAAGTAAAATATAAATGGTACTTCCCCGAAGGGCAAGTGGTTGACAAAGCTTAATGTCAAGGCCTGATCAGTGTCCAAGAGTCAGGAATACCTGGATTTTTTGCAGACTAATATTGAGACATCACACAATCTTTTCTTCCTGTCCACATCCGTGCATTTTGACCACCATCGGTTCAACAACTTACCTACTACACCCACTTCAAACCTGTGAAAGTTTCATTTATCACCAATACAACATATCACAGCCCTGATCACCGCAGCCAGGCCTTCATCCTGCTTACTTGACCCACTATCAACACCTCTAGTTAAATCCTGTGCCCCAACACTCTCCCCCATTCTTACAACCATATTATGCTCTTCTCTGTCCTCCAGTACAGTCCCCCCACTGCTCAAAACTGCTGCAGTCAAACCTCTGCTGAAGAAAACTGGCCCTTTTCCTCAACAATTTAATAATTACCATCCCATTTCCAATCCCCCCGTCACTGCTAAATTACTGGAACGCACAGTTGCAACTCAGTTTCAGGACCATCTTCACAACAATACTGTATGTTTGAGCCCATTCAATCTGGATTCCGCCCCTATACACAATACAGAAATCGTAACAATTTAAATTACTAACAATTTTGCTACAGCTGCTGACTTTGGCTTTCTCACAATTCTCATCCTCCTTGACCTCAGTGCTGCCTTTGATACCATCTTATCTTTATTGTCAAAGTTTGGCTAGCACTGGGTCACAGGCACAGCTTTAAAACGCTTCACCTCCTATCTCAGACTGAAAACAGTTTGTACAGCTCAAAAGATGTAAACATACTGCTGCTAACATGTACAGATCTAAACATACTTGTACTACATGTACAAATGCTAACATATACCTATTGCTTGCACTAGAATACACAGTACTTTATATGCCTTTTATTTTGCCAAATGTAAACAAACTAAAATACTTCTTTATTATTATTATGTTCAAGATGGATATTTTATAATTTTAGGTTTTTGTTCTATTTAGTATAGCTGTTGTCCACTTATCTTGTGCTGTGTGCTTCTCATTCCTACTGTTCTGTAACTTGTGATGCAACACAAGTTACAGAATGTATTAGTCCCCGCTGTGGGAGGAATAAACTATCTCTTTATCTGTATCTTAAAAACATAAAATCAGCACCATCACCACTATACCACAAAGTACCCTAAGGTTTAGTTTTGGGTCCAATTCTGTTTTTAATCTACATTCTCCGTCTCAGCAATATTTTTAATCACTTTGGTACAGTATACAGTTTCATTGCTACGCTGATGACGTGAATCCTGAGGTGGAATACCTGCTTTTCAGACCAAAGTACTGATGACCTCAATCATCACAATCACCAACAGCCATAATTTGCCCAGACAATTTAGAAATCCCTATTCCAAATGAAAAACATTTGACCTGAACAAATCAGAAACAGCTATATGCAAAACACTGTAATAACCCTAAATAACTAATGTAAATTGAAGATTGGTAGGAGGAGGAATTGGTGCGATACATAAAAACTGATAGATTTATAGTATCATGAAGGAAAAAAGTAATCTTGGTGCATAATTTGATAAACGCATGCAGTACAGTGGCGCTGTGAAACTGAGAAAAATAAGCTACGGTTGAGACGGATGATAAGGGGCTAACATAGCGATCATAAGCACTCCTGGCAGCGGTCTGGTCGGCCCTGGCCCCTTTGTGAGCCATAGGGTGGGAGATAAGAACAGGCTCGGTAGCCAATATAATTTAACAGAGAATCTACAGGGGTTGTTTGGACTTAATTTCTTCCATTTCTGATATGTGACACTGGGCTTAACCGAGGAGCTGGACCTGAGGAAAGGGGTGAAAATATAAAAACCTGAGGAAAGGGGTGAAAATATAAAAAAAATCAAGATGAGATTAAGAAGGAAATTACTGGCAACGTGCAGGTTTACAAATACATAGAGGATGGATGCCGACATTGCAATATGCAGAGGAAATGCAAAATACGTGGATAGACAAGTAGCTTGATATTGTTGTAATGGGTCAGAAAATAATAACACAAGTATGAGTATTCTAATGAAGTGATTACTTCATCTTGCTTCATCGACATATGGTAACGTGACAGACCCCCATGACAATATTGGTAGGAGAAATGCATCAGGATAGGAAATGAATTGAGAGGGGACTAATGGCTCGCTTGTTTTTGCCTTTAGTGTAAAGAACAGATGCCACAAACATGTTCCTCTGCCTCTTTTGCCTACAATAAAAGTTCTAAAACCTGCTCTGCAATAACTAAGCCTTATAGTCATGTTCAGAGCATGTTTTCTGCCTAATAAAACTAAAGCAATATCTGAAAATGTGTTTAGGAAACTTCTATGGTGAAATTTGCTGCATGCAATGTTTAAGGTTAACTTGAAAATGCTAGACTATAATTTCCCCTCATACCACCAGATGGAGGCAGAGATCTTTTATGCATAATTGTTTATCCATATATTTGGTATTTTAGTAATAATTTCACCATTTAAAACCAAGTGATTATTGTCATATTGTGTTAAGAGGCCAAACATAATGCATCATTCTTCTAAAATTGATTACACTGCATGAGCCGGAAAAGCCCGCCTCCAGGAGGTGATTGACAGGTGAGAAATAAAAACAGCAAATTAGCGCATGCAGCCTCCCTCCCGAGTCCAGTGTAGTGGCCCGCATCTACCACACTGAGCTCTGCGGTTTTTCTGCTATTGTCACAGACAAAAGTATTGGCATCATGTCAACTTAAAGAAAATTTGGTTATCTGTGACAACTATGTGTAACAAATGTATATACATTAGGGCTGCAACAACAAATCGATAAAAACGATTGTTAAAAAACAGTGGGCAACAAATTTCATTATCAATTTGTTGTGTTGCGCGATTAACACATTACCCACTACGTGGTGGCACTCACGTGAGTTGGGCGCATTCTGTACAGCTGTGTTCAGGAGATGTTTGCACGTGCGTAGATGGAGGCATGGACGCACTTTCACTAAATATCAGCTGCATGAGTATAGCCTGCTGTACTGCTGCTGTACTTTCCTGCGTTGGGGAAAACCGCAGGACGGAAGTGGTGGGCGGGCTTTGAGGCCATCACTGGTACTTCTGCATCGTCGAACAGTGACAAACACGTTAGCAACACTTACAGTCACAGAGTAGAAACTCAGGGTGAAGACATATGTTCACACGCGCCACATCCTCCATTGCTCTCTGATTGGTTGCCACACGTGTGTGGAGCCTTTTCGTGTTTTTGCTGTATGCATCCCGTCTCCCATGCGGGATAAACGTGCGTGCCACGACATCCATGCAATTCCACTCACCGACTTAGCATTGAAACTCGTCGCAACGCATGATCCGGTTACACACGGCTTGAGAGTGTATACACTCAGACATACATCATTATTATCATTATTATCATTATTATCATTATCATTATCATTATCATTATTATTATTATTATTAAAATTATTAATCATTTATTTATTGTTCTGACTGCTTGGGTACCTCTTTTTGTGTGCTTTACTTAAAAAAAAATTAAACAAATAAAAAGGGGGCGAAGGGATGTAAAGGGATGCGTTTCCTAAGGGAGATAATTACTTTCTGTTCTGAACACTTTATTTTGTAGCTAAAACACACCAACATTCACTTGCATCCTGCCCCAGTCACTCTGCTCGTACGCCACACTTTTCATTCTCATTCATTAATTTCTCTGGCTCACGACGTTTACTCTAAGGCCGTGTTGTCAAAAGATGCACACGTCACTTTTCAGCGTGAAAATCCCTTGATGCTGAGTATATATATTGGGGTTTAGTGGTTGCAATTGCTTGTAATCTCCACAAATGTTGCAGAGATTAACCGGTTTTACGGTTATCGCGATTATAAAAGCCTGCGGTAGATTAACCGTAAGGGTTTTAGAACGCACGGATTACCGCTGGTACGGAAAACTCTCCCGCAAGGTGGAGTGCGGGCCGCTGCACACGGAGACTCTCAGGTAACATGAAGATGGCAGGACAAGCTCTCCCAGAGTTATATCCACCACAACTTCAGTCAGCAGTGTGGGATCACTTTGGGAATCCAAAAGATGAGCAAGTTGTTGTTGCCAATACTTCAAACATGATACATCTTTGAGGTAATTCTCCTTGCTGTATGTCCAAGTCAAGGTAAACAACAGCATAATTGTCAATAAAGTTGTCCAAATATTCAGAAATAAGCGCCAAAACTGCCCCAGGGTACATATTAACAAAAAGGATTCTGCAAAAATGAAAGTGAAAGTCACACCGGCGAAAACAGTTGCACATGTGCTGGGAGACGCTCTGATAAGGGACAGTACGCACAAATCCTCAGTCAACAAAAGAAATGCAGACATAACATCTAAACAAACACTATAAAAATGGCTGCTACTACAACTACTACAAAACAATTAGGCTTTATACAGTACATTCCTGAATTTATTTTTTACATGAACATTTTTATACTTATATCTAAAAAGTTCAGCAATTTAGATATATGTATATTTTAAATGTAATACATACAATAAAATAATGTAAACTATGATATTATAATCTTAATTTATCCATTTATTTTTTCCAGCAAAAACAATCTGAGTGTATTTTCTTTCATAATGTCGATAATTGCAATATTTTTCCTCACAATAATCGTGACTCAAACATTTTAAATTGTGGCAACCCTTATTGCTACATAATTTTTTTTTTTTCTTTAGTAATCTTTTGATATAAATATCAAATATACTGCTGAGCTAATGGTCCTATACAACTTTTGGTAAATTTGAATTGAAGTACCATAATCTGTGTGTGTTCATGTTAGAATCTGACGCTGTGAAAAGGGGAAACCTTCAACTGAACATGACGGACCAAACTTGACTGATCTTCACCAAGAGACATACCAACTTGAATGTAGAGTCACATATGATATTGAGAGTATGTTTGCGCTCACCTGCAGAACAGCCTGTATCTTGGCAGAGACGTCGGCCTGATCGTACAGTTTGATGCTTTCCTCCTGAGCTCCTCTGGGACATTGCATGGCGATGTGCTGGAGGTGGGACAGCACCACATTATGCGCCTGAGCCACTGCTTTGAACTTGTCAAACAGCAGCTCCAGCAGTTCCAGTAGCTGCCTACAGAGGGAGTCAGAGAAGACAGAAAGATTGAGATTAAGTATTCAAGGACAAACAAGTCACGCTCTTGTTGTTGTAAAAATATGAAAAAGTTGGATATACATTTATATCAATGCTTCCATCACGTTTGCGTTCGTAATAGGGACAAATACATGAGCATTTTGGGTCTTAAAAAGTGCACACATCATGAAACAGCTGGACGGTTAAAATGCTCCAGATCATAGCAATATAAAAGGCATCCACTCTGCCATTGCAGGTGTATACTGCTGCAAGTGGTGCCTGAGGGCATTTGTTATTCAATCAATGGTCAGTCAATGGTGTCCTCAGTAACAGTTTTATCTCTTCTGAAAATTCTTAATAATTCTTTTTGTGTTTTCAAATTTTGTGATCATTGCAAAACACTAATTTAGTGGTTTTGGTAGTGCCGTTTTCTGTTGACTATCGAGTATAAAGTACACTTACAACCCTAAAACAACATTTTGTTTTAGGGTTCCAACATTTCTCCAACTCAACAACCCTGCGTCAAATGAACCACTTCTCTCATTAGTCTAAATTAGTGACTCAGGCAGAAAAGGGTACAGCCCCAATCATTTGGACCATATACTTGAGAGCCTCATGTTGCCTCATCCACACTAACATGACTTTGACAAAACTGCGTTTTGCACAAGGTCAATGCTCTCCAATTGAAGAGGCGAGCAGAGGTTTCATTTGAGCAGGCACAGAGGGGGGATGCAGCACCCTCCAAACTGAGTGGCCACTTCATTACACAGAAGGCCCGGAAGGGTTAATCAAACAATATTTTACTTTTGACAGAATTCAGAGCACTCTTACAGAGTGTGGTAATTTCAAGTGAAAGCGATTGTTGTGGTTTGACTATTGACATTATTAATTTCCTTAAATTGAAAGGTATATATCAACAACTAATTATATATATTGTCAAGATAAGATAGAGTTTATTGATCTCACACTGGAGAAATTTACATTCACATTTGGCATTGATAGAATAACTCAGGTTGTGCAAAATACGTAAGTGTGCAAACATGTTAAAGGACGGTATAAATGAGTGTCCAATAGTGTTGTATACATATCCTGGTCATAATTTTGTCACTTTAGTGCAAATTAGTTGATTAGCGTTGTTGTTGAATACTGTAGTTTTAGTCATTAGTTGCTTTTATTGTTAGATTAGTTAGCTGAATTTAGTTAAGGACTTTTGTTTGTATTTACTAGTGAAATTTCATTGTGTATTGTTTATTGTACTTGTGTACAATAAATGCTACTTTATGTTTGAGCGTGTGTTAAATTAGTCTCTTCTGTGCACATTGGGGTATCATTTCTATCCAAAATGCCTTCGGGGTTTCCATGCAGCACAAGTTTTCCCCTGGGGACAAGGAGGTGCAGTGGCCGCAGGTTATTGTGGCAGAGTTTAGAATTGTATAACTATATGACCCCACAACATATAGTTTCTTGGTCTGGGTTCATAAACAAAATGTACAGACAAAACTGTCAAGCAAAGCACCGCAACATAAGGGGTCACTGTATGGGAATATGGGAAGGCTACATAAACGGCCACTCTTGTCAAAGGTTCGATTCAGACAGGTTAGCATTTCGGGGTCCGGACCCCTACATGATTGCTCTCCAAGACCTGTGACAAGCAGTTCGTACTTTTTACCAGCTAGCTCTACTAGCGGCGCTAGCTCGCGAGCTAGCGGCTCAAATTGATAGTGCTAAGGCCGCCGTCTGTCTCCTCTCTCTCAACCTCAAGTGAGGACGGTGGAGAGAAGTCCTCCACCTTTCAAGACCGCACAGAAGCTATAGAGCTGGCGTCGCCGTGATCACTCTCCATCTTTAACACGGCCAATGCTGAAGTGGCCGTGTCAATCACAGCTTAGACCCGCCCAACATTCACCCCCCCGCCAGTCCCCTTTAGTCCTCCAGGCTACGCCCATTTGGAGGGAGATTTAAAAAGAAAATGTGAGTGACGTAAGCCTCGAGGAGCGGGAGTGAGAAGTTCTTTAAAGGTTTAAAATATAGTCTGTGCAGGATATAATTATTTACAGTAAAAAAGTGGCAATAGTAGTGCTGGTAAAATACAACAAAGTTACACGACTGTCAAATATGAATCTATACAGTTACAAAACCTCAAATCCTACAAGACCAAACTTCAGTTTTGGGAACTGTCCAAGGTTTTTCGGGGGGACGCAGCATTCTGAAACTGCAATGGCAGTTCCAGAATGTAAATGTTAATATGGAGGGGAAAGCAGGCTGTAACTCTGAACATAAGATATTCTACTACAAAAAGAAGCTTGGAAAGGCCACAAAATGGGTCACCGCCTTTTCTTTTTTCAGATCCCTTGTGCTGTGACAGGGAGAGGGAGAGCTAACCTTGAGAAACTGACAACAACAATGCAGTCATATTAGCATCCAGATGGACACCACCAAATGCTCCACTTTGACCTTGTTTGAGGAGGCACCCTTTTAAATGTAAACACAAAACCAATTTTACTGAATGTGTCAATGCAATAATAATGAAAATAGTGATTTGAAATTAATAATCCCTTCTGCATTTTCATCTGATTGCAGTACTTTTGCAACAGATTGAGTAGTTAGAAAAGTGCACAGTCCCAAACTAGACCTAAAGCCTGTTCCTCCTTATTATCTCCCAGTGCGAACCAACTTAATCCATACAGTGTGTTCTCTTCTCGTCTCCCTTGCAGCCGAGCTGAAGGAGCAGCCAGTGGAGAGCACGGGGCCACACGCATGTCAGCAACTCACCCAACTGACCACCAAAAACAATGCAACAATAAGCCGAATTATTACATCCACTCACAGTTGAAGTAGAGAACACTGATTATGTCTTCATTGAGGCACCCACTGTGACCGGGGTTGTTTAGGCTGAGCAAGCAATTTAGTGTAGAAAGAGGGTTAACGAGCAAGGATATGAGGTTAAGAGTCAAAGACAAATGTAATGGTCACGTCAAGGCATTCAGAAAGGTGCCAAATGGTAATCCTGGTTCAAAAGTTCTTCATTCTCTCTGATGGTAAAGCGGCCCATTTCTCTTCTTCCAATTATTGTATATGTAAATGTACAAAGAACCACAAACATTGAGTGGAAAAACAGTGTTAATAATGTTAGTTTTCCGGAATAATTGTTTTGCAATTATTTAACCTGCTAAAGTTTGCACCGGGTGTACATTTGAAAGCACAGCTATATCTGAAAAATGGTGTTATATTGTCTGTCTTTGTGATTTAACAGAATTTCAAGAGCTATTTTCAAGAAAAAATGTTCACTAAGGAGGAGTCAAATTCTACTTGCACACGTGTGCAAGAGCAGGAATTGCACATAACTTGGCCAACTTTGCAAAGACAGAAAACAACTCTTGCACACTGTACTTGCATACACCAGTGGTTTTTTGTATGTAAGTATAGTGTGCTAGAGTTGTTTTCTTCTTTTTCATAATAATAAAGTGTACCATAGCCAATATCATTGTTTACAGCACATTGGGATCGTTTGTATTCAGCAATATTTGCAATCTGTACAAACAATAAATAGTGCTGACACGTGCAATTTTTTGTGTCCAACTGAAATGTTCCAATTAAAAATCCATGAAGCAAACATAAGAAAGTACGAGGCTTTAGAATGCAGACACTCTATTAAAGAAGCCTGGAAAGGGCTATGAATAGTGCTCACTGAAGTAATTAAAGGGACCAAAGCCTCAGCCTATGATCATATACACTGAAGAATGCTTATCAGGTGTGCTATACAATAAGATACATGTATTCCATATGGAAGCTGTTCCGTGGTTGTGACTTACTGGTTTCCGTTTCTATAGCAACAGTGCTTCCATTAAATTGTGTGTGTACATGGGCTGAAACAAGGCGTACAGGGATACAAACACACACAAGTCCAAAGCTGTAAGTGTTTGTCAAATGCTGTTCTCTTTGCAAAGGTATAGTGAAAAGTGCTCTCTCCACACATAGGCACACACAGATAAACTTGAGACAATCTGTAAAAGGAGCGGCAGGCTAGGAATGAGCTACACCGTGGCCTATTACTGTGGGTCAGAGGAGATTGGGGCAGTAGCAACAGGAGAGGTGCGTCAGATGAGGCCAGAGAGAACATCCCTGACAGAAAACAAGACGTTCCTCTTAAATGGTTCAGGATCAGTGGGCTGAGACTTGTGCTTTCCTTGAGTCGGTCTGCAACTAACTCTGTTCTCTCCCTTATATCTCGTCTACCTTTTTCCAATCCATCTTTCTCTCTTACACTACCTTTCCCAATGTTGTCCCTTTTCTCCCATTTTCTCATAATTTCTCGCACTTATCCTTTCCTCCACCTTTGTCTGCTTCTTCCTCTCTTTTTCATCTCTGCCTCTTCTTATCTGGTCCACTATTTCCCTGGCTCTCCCTGTGCGGATGTGAGCTCTGACGTGACTGCTTTTAAAATGCACTGGTCTCCGAGGCAGGTGTGAAATTGTTTTTGTGTGGATAGAGGAGACGTGCTTAACCATGACTTGTCGGGATTTAAAGCGGCACACTTTCTGTTTTCACAATGGCTGTGTGCTGTGCAGTTCGTATGTGTTGCAAAGATGATCTGCCCCTGAGTTAAATTCAATAGAAATGGCTCTAATCAAATCCAAATCTGAACAGTACCTAATCCAAACCATTACAACCACTACAATTATTTTAGTTCCGAATTCCTAATTGTCACCGATAATGACATTATCTCCACTGGGACATCTATACATAACAAGGGAATATTGGCAAAGCTATCTTAGTAGTGGTCCTCACTTTACTTGATGTACTGATCAAATGGGAGTGGGATTAATGCGCTCCCAATAGGTGACAGGGAGCGTTTTTGGAACAGACACAGACACGCACAGTGAGTCATGCTTCTGGATATTTTTAGTTTATATCTTACAAAAGTCCCTTTCAACGGTCCTTCAAGGGCCGACCTCTCGGCCTACCTACCACTCATGCAGCTATTCATCAATCTCTTCATCCATTCTCTGCATATGCCCATACCATGTCAATATTTGATCTATCTGATCTTCATTTAATTGAAAACACATTACATTCCATGTTGCTGCACCATACAACAAACACATACAAATACATTTATTTCTAACAACTCTATTCACCGCAAAAAGAACCTTGCCAATTGCTTGAAATAAAAAGTATCCGCGAATCTGACTGCACCTTGAGAACTATAAATATTAAGATTACTCAATTGTGGGTTCTCTGTTTGGCATTCATTGTTTCACTATACTCCAAATAATCTGAATACAATAATATGGTCCAAACAATATATTCCATTTTCCTTTCATCTGTGGCCCACCATTATGTACATCTTTCCAAAACAGTTTGGGCAGCATATGTTGTGAGATAAAGAACCTTTACACTGCAATTCTCCATCTCTGCCCCCCTCTCTCCTTTCGTACAAGCAGTACCTGGGCTGGCTCTCCTGTACGAGGCTCTCCCCTCTCTGGTATGCATGGTCTGCGATCTGTGTGGTGGACCTCTTCACAATCTGCTTCAGCTCTGGCTCCAGTCGCTCCATTATGGCTTTAATCGTCTCAGGGATTTTCTTCAGCTTTGCCAGAGCCTATGAAAGATGATGACATGATATGAGCATTTGAGTCAGTTCAATCATTTACTCTCTCATTCTGTCATGTGCGCTATAAACATACATATAATACTGCAATACACATAAACAAATTAGCTCATTAAAAAGCCCTTCATACCAGAATCAATTTGACTATACATTGCACTATAGTGATAATCCATCAAGTTAGCCCAACCACCTTGATAAGGATGCCCATGAACTCTGCACTGTTCTCCTCTGGGTCGACTTCCGGTAGGTCTCCTTGGTGCAGCTCACGACCATCTTGTTGAACTGAAATGAGAAAATAGAAGTCATATCCCTTAACAAGTCATACAGAGTGTGTGCGCCAAGGAGAAGCTGCTGCTACTGACCCTGAGGCATGTGGTGCTGCTCTAGAAGTCTAAAGCTGCGTTCAGACCGGATCATGCCTTGCGTCTGCTTTCAATGCAAAGTCAATGGTGACGCGCGTTCGAGCGTCAAAACGCATGGACCTCTCGGCACGCACGCACGGGCCGCGCAGTAGAGACGCACGGACTGCGCGGGAAAGTCAAAGGGGAGGAGCAGGAGCGGAAAATTGAAGCCCACAGGACATAAACTTTGCTCAACCTTTCCTCGGGACGTTCGTGCATCGACCAAATCAGAGAGCCGCGAAGTGGTCACGGGGACATTGGTGGTCTGAGCGAGCAGACTGAACATACTTTTAACAGCCAAAACAGGAGCTACATCAGGACTAAACCAGGGTTGACAATGGGGGATATAGTGCTTGTGAATATATGCGTTGTCATGCTCCTGTGACTTTATGCAACTGCTTCTAGTGTGTTCGCCGTTTAATAAAATAAAATAAACTTATTGCGCATTTCCGTGAACACAAACTACTGTTATATAAGGTCCGTGGAAGGTCTCTGAACACAGACACGCTGCCAAGCTGCATTATTGGAGAAGATCTTTATACGAGAAGCCGCTATTGTCATGCTCCCGTGACGCATATATTCACAAGCACACAGTCCCCAATTGTCAATCCTGGTTTAGTCCTGGTTTAGTCCTGGTGTAGCTCCTGTTTTGGCTGCTAAAAGTAGGTTCAGTCTGCTCGCTCAGACCACCAATGTCCCCGTGACCACTTCGCGGCTCTCTGATTGGTCGCTGCAACCAGATTAGGTGACTCAGAAAATCCCGTGGAAGACCGAGGACACAGAGGGACGATGTCTCTCAGCTGGCTTGGGAATGCCTGAAAATTCCCCGGAACGAGCTAGAGGAAGTGAGTGTGGATAGGGAAGCCTGGGCCCCGCGCCCAGACAAAAAATTGCACACAAAAAATATATCTACTCAAATTTAAGGGCATTGCTTTTATGGATCCTCATAGAAATCAGGAGATGTGGCGTCGACACTATGACTCGTGACAAATTCTCCCAAACTTGGGATTGACTTCTCCAGCAAGCCTTAGCCGGCAGGGGTCGCAGTCAGCCCAGTAAAAAATATAGGTTGGCTAGTTTGGCTGGGTTGACTGCGCCATAGAACAGCAGCGGATAAGGCAATCCATGTGTGACGTCTCAAAAATGATACTAAGTAAGACTGAAGTATGCATTGAAACATGTCAAGGTAATAACAAATGCTAGCCTACTAATGTCTGGAATGGGATGACCAAATACAATCCATATAGTTTCACATGTTGCCACTGCCAGTAATTCTTGTGTTCGGTGTCTAAGTGAAGCAGACGTTGGCATCTGAACAGTTAGTTTCTAACCTAATGATTTCCTAATGATTAACACACATTTCCATTTACATAACATTATCCCATGTATTTGGTACCTGCTTTCCCCTGAAGTGTCTCTTTAAGACACAGCTCCATTAAGAGCTAAATTGAGAGTAGTAAGAGCCAATGATGGTTTCATTTTAGATAGAGGGCATAATTTCCTCATCCAAGCCCGTTCAGAGTTAATGTTTATGACAAGGTAATGGACTTTAAGTTTATTTAATCATTTTCCACATTTTAACTGTAGTTGGTGCCAAGCATCAGTAGAAGCTACAGATGCATAATTTAATGCAGTCTGTCCGTTATTGGAGTAAAAATGCGGAACGATCGTAATGATCACCTAAAGCTAGTTAATACATTATCAACATACCACAAATATGCGTTACAAAGGATTTTTAAGTTAAGTCAGAGTGCAATAGACCTCTTTTTTGTCTATCATTAGAAAAAAAAACAATGAAGCAACAAAGAAACAGTTTATCTATACACTGCCTTTCCTTAAAAATTAAGATAATAAAAATAATAAAAATAAAAAAAATGCTGTAGAAGCAAATATGTATTTTGAGTTGAATATCAGTAGTAAATACCTTTTTGGTGTGTTTCAGCTTCAGCTCAATCCTATTTTTGGTTGTAATACACTCAGTGAATGTAATCTGTCATTAAAAAAAACAATCAACCAATATAAAATCCAATCCAAGGTAGTGATTAGGAGCTAGAAGCTAAAGCTTTAACTATTGGTATTTGGATGCAGCCATAGTTCACTTGAAAAAACTAGTGGCGAAAACGATTTTCATTTGTTACATTCGACGCACCATCCAATGGTCCTCATTTCTACACAAACACAGTTCTGATTTGTTGGGTTTTTTTCTTTTAATTGTTGCCCACTACTGTAATCTGTTTTTAGATGGCCGCTTAAATAGCATTTGAAGAACAGTTCAATTATTTTTCAGCCATGTGGATAAATAGTGAATAAAAAAATGATCCAAATGTATAATAGTAATAATAATATGTCAAGTCTTTGGGTAAACTAAAGTAACATCTACTCCAGTTACATGGTTAATTTCTGAACTATGTTATAACACAGAATCACATCTTGCTTTAGCATCTATGATGTAAAAACACCTTTCATTTATCATTTATCTGCTTAAGTTCTCCCTCATGCTGGATCTCTTTTTTCCCAAACTGAAGACACTTCAATGTTATGATATAAATGGAGCTCATGGTCACGAAGCATTTGTATCTGAAAAACACTAAATTTAGCTTAGCTTCAAATGCAGTGAGGGTGGCGAAAAAGTGCCAGGCTTAATATAAAACTCAGAAACATCACGAGGGAACACTAAGAAATTGCAGGATTAACTTTTTTCATTATCTTCTCGTTTGTCCTCCGTGGTCCCTGCATGGGAGAAATGCCTCGCTTCCTCTACGCCCCTGCAACTGAACCGAGAGATGTTATTCTACAGTTAGTCTTATCAGACCCTGTTAGAAGCTGACCAGAGCATAATCAGGCCTGTTCCCTGCTGTGATGGTACACATGAAAAGTACTAATGGTTTCACCCAAAGAGCGAACGTCATTTTCCTATTTCTAGGGAAATGTAAAAACCTACTTCTGTAATATATGCATATGAGGGTAAAAGCGGTGCATGTCAGTTTGGACTTGGCTTCCTGTAAATACACTTATACCCTAATGCACAGTCACACTTCAATCTGTCAACTGTAATGATTGTTTCTCCTTGTATATTTACAAGGGGCATTCATTGTATTGAATCTAGCAAAAAGATATGGATACCTACACATTAGGTTGCAATATGGTGCAATACAAAACGATAAGGGCAATTATTTGAAAAAAAAAGTTAGACAATAAAGCTCTCACATTATGCTAGTGTTTCTCTAGTCTGAGTGTAAAAAACGTTTCCTATTAACTAGGGCTGGGCGATATAGCAATAACTATATATATCGCTAAACACACGTGGTCGATATCAATAGAAAATGGGGTTGATAGAATGTTCCATAGTTTAAAGGTTCCATATTACGCTTTTCTTCATGTTTCACAGTCAATCCTATGCACATGTGTGATAATAATTTGAGTGATACACCATACAACACTCAAAACTTGTGAATAATAGCCATCTCTTGTATAGAGGTGACCTCAACTCAAACAGGCTGATCCAGAGTGGAGTCTGCTCTTCTGTCCATGATCCCGCCTCCCCCCGCCCGCACGGTGACGTAGCATCAGGATCTGAGTTGTTTATCTCCGGGAACATAATCATTCCAGACCTGAGAATAAACTTTTTCCAACAATGATAATCCGTAACATCAAGCCCTATGTCCTCGATCCACAATCAGACCCTAATTGTTTAGTTTACATAAGCATGCGGCGAGTTAGTGTCACTGTTCTTACAGATCGGGGGTCCGTGTTTAGCGTCTTTTATCGCGGGAATAACACTGGTTCCAGATCAGTTTTTGAGTAAGTCCAGTTCCATTTTCCCTGTAGTTTCGGAACCGTCTTAGTGCAGATGAACAGATTCATTCAAACAGAAGCAGATACCGTGAAAAAAGTCGCACCGCTTTCTTCCTCTTCGGGCCAAATAGTGCGTCACATCCAAAACACATTTTCTCCAAGTTGACATGATCCTAACACTTTTAGTCGCTGACAAAAGCAGAAAAACAGCAGCTCCATGTGGTGTTTGCGGGACCAAACCACAGACATATGCTAGACTCGGGAGCTGGCTGTGCGCTGTGATTCGCTGTTTCAATTTGTCACCTCCCAACTTTTAGTTTTATAATTTTTATAATTTTTGACAGCATACTTATTGTGTATTGTTTTCCCTGTTTTGACAACAGTATTTAAAAAACGTTTTAAATACAAAGCAAACAGACATAACACGACATATTTGTCATCAAAGTGGTTATCGTCACAGATGTGGACCCAGGCATCTCACTGCCTCTCTAGGGTGAAGGACACAGATCGCTCGAGGGGTGGGCGATATGGCGGTATGCGGTATAATTTGGGTCACAGACGGTAGACGGTATATATTGCGGGAACATTTGGTGAGTGAAATTCAATAGGTCTTGCAGGTTCTTGCATTAAATAGTCAAGATTGTTAAATATTTATATATTAGAATCTAATATATACATTTTTTGAGTTTGAAAATCAGGTGTGTCCAGTCTCCACAAACAAAATCACCAGTATTTCATCCAGTATTTAATACATTGTTAGCATATAATATTATTCCATGTTAAAGAGACACCTTGCTTTTGAAATGCAGATTGAACTGAAGACCCTGTGGTTAGTAGGTAGGGTTGCCAACTTGAGAAAAGAAAAATAAGGGACACCATTTGGGTGGATCGGGTTGAGCACTTTTTAGTCCTAATTTCAATCTACACAGGAATCATGGAATTTCATAATCAGTTTTTAGAACTTCAATACATATAAAAAAAACTAAAACAAATCCTTGTCAAAAATGAAATTTAATAAACATTTGGAACTCTTTGGCTGGGTAAGGACTTAATGCAGGCTTATTAGTCATAAAAAAAAAAAAACTTCCGTAAAAGCCATTGTTCGTTTACAAAGCTGGTCTTGACATTTGTTGACGGTCCCTAAGCGCTTTACTCTGCGCTTGCAGCAATGGATTTCTCTGCATTAAAACAGCGCATTGGATTTGAACAATCGATGTTAATGTGATCATTTTGGCACATTCTTTTTGATTAACAAAGTAGTTTTCGTGAGCTATTGACCGCGGAAGTCAGAATTTGACGCCAACTTTACCAAACTGCTGTGATGATGCAGCGGGCGCTTGTCATTGAGCCCATGGTTGTGATCTGGGCTAATGCTGCTGGGCTAATGCTGCTGGGCTAATGCTGCTGGGCTAATGCTGCTGGGCTAATGCCGCTGGGCTAATGCCGCTGGGCTAATGCCGCTGGGCTAATGCCGCTGGGCTAATGCCGCTGGGCTAATGCCGGTTGTTTTGGTGCTTTCTCCAGGCTTTAGCCAATTGGCGCCGGGTTAACCTCCGTTGGGCCCAGTGCAATTTGATGACATATTGACCTATCGCACTATGCCGGTATAACAAAAAAATGTATCGCCCAGCCCTAGATTGCTCTCTAACTAAAGATTGACAGAATCATTGAAGAAACTACTCTGGGCATGTGTATGAAGGCCAAATAGCACTGTAATCATGGTTAAAGCAGAGAAAAGTCAAAAAGCCTAATATGGGACCTTTAACTTCACTCCGTTAGAAAAAAACAGTATGCAGTAATAAATACCTTCAATTCTCATCTTGTTATATTATAACTTAAATTGGACAATGTATTTACAGTTACTGCTGAAAAAAACTGGAAATAGCTCAAGGCTCACCTTGATCCGCATATTTATGATTTAGGTTTAGGGGAAACCCTACATGCAAACATGCAAACATGCACATGCACAGTTAGTTGGAGACAAACTCAAAAGTGTGTGAGTGTCTGTGTGCATATCAACCCATTAAGGGCTGACACAGCTGGTAAAACAGACCTGTAAAACCTATGGCCGACTTCAGAACCACCTCCAAAACCTCATGTTTTCCTAAAATTCAATGTCTACATAATGATTGATATCTCGGCCTCTGTAGCAGATAGAAACATAATTTCAAAAGAATTTGAGACTTGAGATTTGTGGCTGTCAATAAGAATGGAATGTATTATTATAAACCTTCAGTAGAATAAAACACAGGAAATGTAATAAAACAGCCAAAACATTTGAGACTAACAAATGTTTCTAAATAAATTAAGTCAATAAGAGTTTGACAATAAAGTGGCACAAACTATCTGGAACAAAAATACAAAAATCCACTCTCAGCCCAAAAAGTCAAATAATGACTCACAGGGTTCTTTCTTAAGAAAGCAAAATAAAGAAAAAACACAACTGTTTTGGTTTGTTCTGTTTGATTTGTTCACAACATTTTATTTTTGTGCACAAATAACATGCATTGTCAATGCTAGCGCAAATGTAGGTACCTGAGCTTTAATTCAGTGAGTTTTGGCTGCGCTTTGTGAGGAGACTTGGGGAGAGACAGGGAAGACACATGGGGAAGAGACGGGGGAGACAGGCAATACCCACACGTGCAACAAGCTGGGGATGGTCCTTATCGCGCGTGTATGATTCTGTCCGCGCTTCTATGGTCCGCGGTACATGACCACGTTAGGGCTATGCGTTCGCTGAGCTGTGTCAAAGCGGTCACTGTTCCTCCCGGGGTCAGAACGGAGGATGTCATGTAATGCAAACCAGCGCATGCGCTTCTCACGGCAGCCAAAGCAAACCAAGATGGCGGACAATAGGTCCGTGAATTGCTTAAAAAGTTTAAATATAAACGAATAAAGACACATATGCAATTTGAGGCAAGATGTTGATGGTTCCATGTCGTTATATGTGTGTTTTAAGAGTAAAAGTTTTCTGCAAAGTTTGGTTTAAGTAGTCAACTGCTACTGTTTTGATAGCAGTACCTTTCTTGTCGAGTTTAACTGCCGCATACATTTTACTGATCGGCTTGAAAGGTAGAAACACGGGAACGCGTACCCGGCCTCAATGGGTTAACAAAGCCACTCCTTTAATGCGCGAGCGGTGCGTTTGGGATGATTGTGCAGGTTATTCACTAGGTCACCCTGTGTGGTTCTGGGATTTTTGCTCATCGTTCTTGTGGTCATTTTGACCCCATGGGGTGAGATCTTGCGTGGAGCCCCAGATTGAGGGAGATTATCAGTGGTCTTGTATGACTTCCATTTCCTAATAATTGCTCCTACAGTTGATTTCTTCACACTGAGCTACTTACCTATTGCAGATTCAGTCCTACCAGCCTGGTGCAGGTCTACAATTTTGCCATTAATACATGTAACCAGTGGAGGACAAAGTCTGTGAGAGCTAGAAATCTTGCTTGTTTGTAGGTGACCAAATACTTATTTTCTACAATAATTTACAAATACATTCTTTAAAAATTAGATTTTCTGGATTTTTAAAAAAGCAATTTGCCCAACATAGATAACTAATAATAGCAAACACTACAACTTAAGAGGATAAATCGGCAGACAGAGATTAGTTCTTTGAGTTTTAGTGGTGTAGTGTAAGAATTGATAACATTCAGCCAAACAAATGCAGACACAGATTCATACATTTGATAGTTAAAAAAAAAAAAGTTTAAAAAGTGCTGAAATGAATGTCAAATCAAAAATATAGGTTACCCACTTGGCCTTAAATAAATTAAATAAAATGTATACTTTTCTTGCAATTATTTGAATCTATGTATGTTAAAAAATCAAATCAAACTTACCACTGCTGGATCCAGGTGTGCTGAACTGTGAGGTGTCAAGAGGCTTGCGAGGAGTGGAAAGGCTGCTCATATCCAGAACTGGGATTGGAGACGAGTCTTTAGTAAGAGAACTGGAGAGAGGAGTGAGAGAAAAGCATTGGATTCATGTGGGAGTTCATACTACAGGACCACTATAGTCTTAAAAATAATCTCTCAGAAGACCAAATTAACCTTGTTGGACAATTCATATATAACTTATTATTCAACTTTGGAGCAGTACTTGCAGCCACAATGTATCAACTCTCCTCGTGTTCTTTCCAAATTTTGAGCTCACTGCAAAATGACAGCAACATCAAGTTTTGTATTTATATATTTTTGGTCAGTGTATTTCTAACTCTTCAGGTAGAAAAGACTGACTCTAAATATAAACATATTTTTTGTAAACACTGATTTCCTGATTGGCAAAGCAACACATAGATAAAGTAGCCAATGGCCCAAACAAATACAGATTTGTAAAAGTTCACCAATATTTTGCCCTTCCAAAAGAGTATATTGACTTTTGAACAGTTACAAAAGGAGATACAAGCTGTAATTGGCGCTCTTTCTTGTGTACCCACGAGTTGTTATGGGTTTGACATGGGTAGATTACCATAGCATGTTTATACTTAAATAACCAACGATCAAGATCTTTCCAAATTTACCTGGAAGCCGAATCACTTTTTTTTTCGGAGTAGTCCCCCTAGAAGTTGGTTAAATTCAGATGTCTTACACAAAGACAGGAGAAACAACTTCCCAGCAAACACATTCATCTTTTGGACACATTTCTTCTATAACAAAGTCCAGAATCCATTTGGAAAAACATTTTTGCCCTCAAATGAGCCATTTATTAACAAAGGGGGAAATCCAGGCCTTTTAAGCATGGGCATATCAACACAATGTGCCTGCTAAGTGAGCACGGCATATGGAGGAGGTGGGCTGGCTGTTAGACGCAACCTAATATCACAAGGCCAAGCCCTGTCGGCACCTGACCCTGGACAATAAATCACAGCCACTCAACAACTGACCGTGCCGCCATAATTACTGTATACACACACACACACACACACACGTAATAGGTTTCTGTTATGCATCCAAATAAAATAATAAAGTGGAATAACAAATTTGGAAGATATCTTTCAACTAATTTAGTGAATCATTTTATTGTTTTGAACCTTACACAGTACATGCTCAGAAGAGATTTAATGATTCAGATATTTGTAGGTTGAAATGTGTTTACAAACAATTTCATTCAAACAATCCAATGTGTAAAAAAGTCATCCCCATGCATTATTCAAACTTCACTTTGGTCAAATGTATAAATAATCCCATATGCAAGGACCTTTTGGGATCTAAGACAAAAACATTGATTAACAAAAAGAATAAAATCGGCCAAATACTGTAATCAATCACCACAGTAATTACAGCTCTAATTTACAAGACAAGTTGTATGTGTGCCTCATCAACATCTCTTCTGAATTTTGTTAACAAGATCATCACATGACAAGTTTAAACCATCTATGCAGCCAAGAAAACATGGTCTAAGCTCCAGATTATACATTTTGAAACATGCTCTGCCATAGATCACTCCTGACTGCATGAGATCACTTTAGATTAGCAAACACAATTACCTTGGCAGTCTGGAAGCGTTCTTGTCCCTGTTCTTGTGGCCCAGGCGGTTGGTAGACTTGATGTAGAGGTGTCTGTGCAGCTCGTCGATCAGAACAAGGTGAATGTTGAGCTTTTTACTGTGGAGCTCCAGCCGCAGGTCTGAGAGGCCCTCCACCTGCACCAAGTCCCCATCCAAGGACTCCACAGCAGTCACCTGCACACAACATATATGGAAGATGGATGGTAAATAATTTTACCATTTGTGATTAAAAAGAACTTAATCAACTAATCAACCTCTACATCAACTCTATTTATGAAATTAAATGTGTATCTCTAAATCACAACGGCAAGGAAAATTTCCATAAATGTCCCCAAATGTCCAAAATCATCACTGTCCTTAGACCCTCTTGCATTGGTAAGGATGAACTCAAAATATGTAAGAAACCTCATGGAGGCCCACCATGAGAGAGGGAACATGAACATCACCCCCTCCCTTACACGCACACACACACCTCTGCGCAGCCAGATTTATTGTAAATGTCACACGACAACATAACAGAAATTGACTCCTACAGTACTAAAGGGCTCGACTCTCCTCGGTTTGCAGGCGTTTCCATCGGCTAGCTTTAGCCGCTACCTGGTACTTTTTTAGTAACGGTTTGGCCCTGGTTCTAGCCGGATCGAGTAGATACAAAAAAAAATTTGACGTCGGCAAACGTCAATTCTGATTCCGAAATGAGTGCTTTCAATCTCTAACAAAAAAAATGTTTTCGAATTTCAACCCAGCATTCAGCATATAACACAACGACTTTATTGCACCATGAATCCATTATTCACTCTCTAACTACATTTAGTAAAAGATAGACATGTCACATAACATCAACACCACATTAGCTCTTTTAGACTTTAGAACCACGGACACATGTTCAGTATAAGACCAGATACTTTTGCATATGATTGAAGACAGACACTCTCCATTTCTCTCAAATTCAACATCTGGGACAAGGCAGAGTCAAGGCTTCTCTCCTGGTGTAGCTGGTGTAGCTGGTGTTAGCGTGTTAGTATCCATTTGGTTAAACCACCTCCAGACTTTTCGGTTCTGCCTCTACTTTTGCTGTTGTGATCTTTCATTTCACAATAGTCACTTTTAAGCTTTTCAACTTTTCTCAGCACCGTGATGTTCGTGAAATCCATTCTCCTCCATCCTTAGCGCTACCTCCACAAACACCTGGTTTCTGGTGGCACCATCGAGCTCACGCTGGTGTCCTCTCCTCAAACTGAGGAAGGTGTTGACAGCATCCAGCGACCAAGGAATTGTTTTCTGTTTTGACGTCTTTTTGTTTTGGTATCTACTCGGCCCGGCTAGAACTAGGGTCCAGCCGTTATTTTTTTTAAACAGACAGGGGAGAGTGGAGTCAAGTCGAGTTGGCCATTACAACTTGGGTCAACTTGCGACAAACGGGATTAATGGCAGCGCCAACGCAGAGGCGTTTTTGGTGCTGGTCATGTGAAAGCAAAAGATAACCCTTTTTTTTAATCTAACAATTCCTTGTTGTTAGGTTGAATAAACTCAACATTTTGAGTTTACTTACTAAAAATTTTGTTGTATAATTTACAATACAAATGATAAGAGTATTAAATCGAGACTTGCAATCAGAAGCAAAAAATTGTGATCCTGACATCCCTCTTATAGATTCAGGACTGTAGAACTAGAAATTAGGTTTTGCAATGCAGAACTAAAGAGGCTCCCAGGCGCAAGAGATTTGCAGCCCACAAGTCCAGACCTAAACCACAGGTGCAGGTTAAAATAAAAAGGCAGGTTCGGGGGTCCCATCCTCGCCATGAAACAGACAATGGGTCAGCAGGTGAATAGTACCAAGAACAGCTGAAGTCATAATCGTGACTGATTAATAGGAGAGGGTGCTTAAAGAGGATTTAGGACACAGTTTAAAGGTATATATTTTCAAATTACAACAATGCAGAATAAAATTATGCAGGGTAAGCCTTTGTGATTAGAAACAACAGTGTAGTGTTTCCTCAAGGTTTTGTTGGCATGTTTTGTATCTTCCAAAGATTATATTATACTAAATTACATCTTGTAGGAGATTATATGACTGTAAATCGTGTAAGAGCCCTGCTGCTGTGTGTTGAGGAGGCTATCTTATTACCATTAGGCTGAGATCAGAGACAGAAAATCTTGTTAGCGTCATTAGGTCCAGGCCTGTTGGTGTAATGAGGAATATGACGCCTCTGGTGAGTTGGCATCATGGAAAACCAACATGAATTTAGAATAGAGAAATGGTCAAGAAGTACAAACTGCACACAAAGGGATATTGAAGCATTTTTTGAATGCATAAATTAAACACATAGTAAGGTTGTGGCTGAGAGATTACTATTCCTACATTAAAGTAGGATGGTTAGCACCACATGATTTTATGACTCAAACAAAGCTATAATTACTGCAGAGCAGAATGACATGGAATTGTGAGAAATATGTATTTCTATCAATAAAGTCCATCTTATCTTATCTCTTACTACTCACTGTCCTTTACAAACAACTAATGTTATTTATTCAAAGAAGTCCTCCCAAAATTCTTGTTTTCCTAGGACGCATGTCGTAAACTTACAGGTTTAGTTCTATAGGACATGTTACTGATAAATCAGAGAAGTGGTGCTGAGCACTTTTACTTCAATGTTGTAACTGGACTTTCCAGTATATTACGATTCTATTTGTGTGAGCTTGCTGCTTACTGAGATAGATATTTCAAAGTACAATGTTTATATATTCATGAGAAGCATACATCATCTCTGGTTGAGTAGAGGCATCAAACAGCATGAGAACATAAACTAGTCTCTTACACAGAAATCACAGTGCCTTCGGCTGATCAAGAAAAACTCAATTGAAGTTAGCTAGATAGTGCACCCAACTGATTCTGAACTTTGAACAATCTTTGAAAACACACTGCATCTACTAAAAAGGCGGCAGGTTGAATTAAGTTCTTATTCCTCCCCCACAAAGCAGATCCTTCATGCTCCTTTGGGCTCCTCATCATTTCTTCTTTACCCTCCTCATCACATTACCCCACTCCGGCAAACTAATTATTACCAAAGTATGAAGTAAGCCATGTGGGAGTGACAGAGGGAGAGAAGGAAACCTGGGGGCGTCAATGATTGCATTTGTTAGACATCACCCAAACTTTCACTTCTATTTTTACCATTTTAACACCATTCTAATAGTTTTGTTTTTATATGTGCAAATCAAGTATTCTGTGTATAATACAATACAAAACAGCTCAAAGTGAATTTTTAAGTGTGCTCTGGTGTCTCAATTTATGTACACTATATCTGTCTATATGTAGATACAGTGCCTTGCAAAAGTAATCGGCCCCTTGAACCTTTCAACATTTTGCCACATTTCAGGCTTCAAACATAAAGATATAAAATTTAAATTTTTTGTCATGAATCAACAACAAGTGGGACACAATCGTGAAGTGGAACAAAATTTATGGGATATTTAAACTTTTTTTACAAATAAAACACTGATAAGTGGGGCGTGCAATATTATTCGGCCCCTTTACTTTCAGTGCAGCAAACTCACTCCAGGAGTTCAGTGAGGATCTTTGAATGATCCAATGTTGTCCTAAATGACTGATGATGATAAATAGAATGCTCCTGTGTGTAATCAAGTCTCCGTATAAATGCACCTGCTCTTTGATAGTCTCAGGGTTCCATTTAAAGCGCAGAGAGAACCATGAAGACAAAGGAACACACCAGGCAGGTCCGAGATACTGTTGTGGAGAAGTTTAAAGCCGGATTTGGATACAAAAAGATTTCCCAAGCTTTGAACATCTCAAGGAGCACTGTGCAAGCAATTATATTGAAATGGAAGGAGTATCAGACCACTGCAAATCTACCAAGACCCGGCCGTCCCTCCAAACTGTCATCTCAAACAAGGAGAAGACTGATCAGAGATGCAGCCAAGAGGCCCATGATCACTCTGGATGAACTGCAGATAACTACAGCTGAGGTGGGAGAGTCTGTCCATAGGACAACAATCAGTCGTGCACTGCACAAATCTGGCCTTTATGGAACATATCTATAAAAAGTCTCGTTTAAAGTTTGCCACAAGCCACCTGGGAGACACACCAAACATGAGGAAGAAGGTGCTCTGGTCAGATGAAACCAAAATCGAACTTTTTGGCCACAATGCAAAACAATATGTTTGGCGTAAAAGCAACACAGCTCATCACCCTGAACACACCATCCCCACTGTCAAACATGGTGGTGGCAGCATCATGCTTTGGGCCTGCTTTTCTTCAGCAGGGACAGGGAAGATGGCTAAAATTGATGGGAAGATGGATGGAGCCAAATACAGGACCATTCTGGAAGAAAACCTGTTGGAGTCTGCAAAAGACCTGAGACTGGGACGGAGATTTATCTTCCAACATGACAATGATCCAAAACATAAAGCCAAAGCTACAATGGAATGGTTCACAAATAGACGTATTCAGGTGTTAGAATGGCCAAGTCAAAGTCCAGACCTGAATCCAATCGAGAATCTGTGGAAAGAGCTGAAGACTGCTGTTCACAAACGCTCTCCATCCAACCTCACTGAGCTCGAGCTGTTTTGCAAGGAAGAATGGGCAAGAATTCCAGTCTCTCGATGTGCAAAACTGATAGAGACATACCCCAAGCGACTTGCAGCTGTAAATGCAGCAAAAGGTGGCGCTACAAAGTATTAGCGCAAGGGGGCCGAATAATATTGCACGCCCCACTTTTCAGTTTTTTATTTTTTTTAAGTTTAAATTATCCGATAAATTTTGTTCCACTTCACGATTGTGTCCCACATGTTGCTGATTCTTGACAAAACATTGCATTTTTATATCTTTATGTTTGAAACCTGAAATGTGGCGAAATGTTGAAAGGTTCAAGGGGGCCGAATACTTCGCAAGGCACTGTATTTGAACTACTGATGGCCAGGATGAGATAAACATTCCTATCTTGTGGTATTTACGAAGATGTTTCCACCAATTAAAAATGTGTACGAAAATAATAGTTTAGATCACCATTTCACCGTAAATTATTGTGCCCAGCCCCAATCATGTGTCCCCTTTTCTCAGTGGATCACGAGTCTGTAGCTGGTTGACAGTTTACAGCAGTTTATTTTCCTTTGCAAAAGCTGAAAGTGTGAAAAGTGACCGTGTGGGTTGCGAAGATGTGAAGATGTGAAGGACAAGGGTTTGCAAGAAAAATAGAGTGGCACTGGGAAAAACACCACACATTTGTTTAGATGAAAGAAAGTAGTCGAACTGCAAACGGTAAAAACTCTGTCACGTACAACTCCAGCAGGTTAATTGCATCACTAATCAGTGCTTAGGTGCAAAATGTTATTATTATTATTATGTGTTTATTTAATATTGTTAGAGGAACCGATGCTGTGTTCATTGGCCGTATACTGTAGCTAACAGCTAGTTTGCAGACCCGGTCCCTAAGACATAGAAATACATCACATTTACATAGCACAGAAAAAAAATACAATAGATGATTAGTCTTGCATTATGCTACAAGTTTGGTTTCTTTTGAGCCATAGTTTGACTTTAATTTTAAACTCCTTCAAGTCTGTTAGAGCTTTCAGTTCTGCAGGTAACGTGTGCCAAAACTGTGGCCCTTTTACTGCAAACACAGTCTGACCAAATGATGTTTTACATCTTGTTGCTCTGTAGTCTCTATTGGCGCGCCCCTACTGGTCAATAATAACAATTGTAGTTATTAGATTTCTCAGAGTGCACATTACATACCATCTCTTTAACATGGCTTCATATAATAAGAGACACGCAACTGTAAAAATCATTATTTTTGACGGTAGAAATTCATAAAAGTAATTTGTATGAAAAAACAGCAGAATATACAGTAACAACACAAGTACTTTCTGATCAGGTGATAAATGTGGTAACATTGTTAAAATCTCAAAACAAAAAATGAAAATTGCCTTTGTGATTCATTTGCCATTCATCTTGCCGCCTTATTACACACCATGAATGAAAAGTGTGGGAGTTGCAAAGGAACACGTAGAGACGAGAGAGATATAGATAAAAGCAAAATCGAGAGAAAGCAGCCACTGTGAGATCAGAAAGCCAGGTCGTTTAGTCCACTATGCCATCTCTCAGCTCTCCTACAGAGCCAAAACACACATCAAAGAAACGGAGCGTACATGCACACAGCAGCTGAAACTTGGACTTGTTCAAAGACTATGTTTGCTTGGTGTGAGACTGGCACCCATCGGACATTTCAAGGCTAAGAAAGGGATTCTTAAAAGGATGGCAGATGCTGAGGAATCAATCTAAGCAGTGTGACATTGAAGGAGTTGAGCGCTCCATGACAAACAGAGAAGTCGACCGTTGGTTTGGCCTTGAAAGCTTTTAAAGTAACTTCTGTCCAACTGTTTCCCCACATAAAACAAACAGCGTCTCAATGTCCATCTGAATGAGAAAGTTTTCCCAGGCAGCTCAAATGGAGCTTACAACAACTTTGTTAAAATAAAATTGCACTTTTCAGTATAATGTGTATGTGAACATACACATTATACTGGCAGCCTCAGGTTCCTAGAAGAAATATTAGGCATTATTTTTGGCCATTAATTATGCTTTCTACTTTGTCATTTCATGTTTTCTAACGTGAAATAATGAATTTCTCTTTGCAAACAATTTCTCGTTGCAAACAAAGCCATATTATTATAGAAGAATGTAATTTCACGTGAGAAATTGAGGAAAACTGTTCTCAGTGTCGGTCTGTTTATGCCGTTTATTGACAATGTAGTACCACCAGTCTCGTGTCACCCAGTTTCCTGTAAGCACAGGCTTTGATCTTTTCAAAAAGGAAAAGTATTTGCTATTCTACATTTCTCAAACTTTTCCAAAGCCAATCCAATTCCAAATAATATCCAGGGCCTTGGAAACTGAAGTAGAATTTTCCATTTAACCCTTTATACTACATTGACACAAATTTGTCAATACATTAAAATTATTTTGTAATTGAAAAAATACTTAGAATGAAATCCCTGTTTGAATAAATAATACATGTATAAATAAAGTTTAGATTGTATCATTACATTTTTGTAGGCGCAAAATGGATTGGTACCATCTCAAAAATAGAGCTTTTGACTTTATGTTTTATTTGTATCACATTGTATTTCCCACACCGCTGCTCGCAATTTATTTGCCATTTGTCATTTTAGAACATGTGTCCAAACCTCCCACTTACCAGCATATCTGTGGCATGTAGGTAGTGTTTGCTGGCCATATAGGCTTCCAGCCGCTGAGGCACTTGTTTGATGGCCTCAATCTCATCGAGCAGCTGCAGGACATGCTTGTGCTCGATGCCCTCGATCCAAAGCTTCCGCAGCTCATCTCTTTTGCAGTGAAGCAGCATCTTACAGGACAAAAGGTTCTCCTTGACCTGTTGGAGAAACATCACCCAAGCAATTAATTTCAACACAGCAAACAATAACGCAAAAGCAAGGCTGCAGAATCATAATACAATACATTAGCATATGTTATATTACAACACACACACACACACACACACACACTCAGAAAAGACGTAGGCCCAAACACTCTCAGACCCTACACCGGTCTCCTACATCGTACGTTCTTCTTCCATTTTATGCAATCATTTTATAGCATGTGTTTAAATTATATGGTAATCTATTACAAAGGGAAGGATAGACTTGAAAATCTTTAATGTCTACAGAGAATTCTTTAAGAATAAAATACATTGAGGATGTACATATACAACACAAGTTGACAGCCAAAACATGGTCAGGGGTTTCTCAACTGATTTAGACTAATTTTGGTGTTCTGAGTCCGATTATCACATGCATTTTGCTCTATCAGGTCAACTTTTTGAGATACAGCCATAGTGTTACGGATTACGTACGTCTACGTTATTATGAATTCTGCTCATCAAATTTGATGGAGTAAATAAAAACTGAATGACTTTGGATACATTGACTTTTATTTCTTGAGGAAAACGGAAAAAACGTCAAAGGTTTCTCAGCTGATGATCCGCAGAAATTTGTTTTTAACGCAAAATTGATTCAAAAAAAGATTTCTGTAGCAAAAAATCCTGACCTGATTGAGCAAAACCAAGGTCATTTTTGGACTCAGAGCATCAAAATTAGTCTAATTCAGCTGGAAAACACTGGACTATTTAAAAAAATATTTTTTTGTTACCCAGTGCAATCGGTCGATTAACATTTATTTATATGGTTCTTTTTTCCAATGCAAAAATTAAAAAAACGTTTCTTGCAGCCCAAATTATTGTACATTAGATATTAAATCATAAACATTTAAATCATAAACATCTAAATCATAAACATTTAAATCATAAACGGTGGTTACGGAGCTGAGGGCGCCAAAGAGAGAGTGCCGGAAGGCTGAGCGGAAGTGGCGAAAGTCAAATCTCAAAGTTGACCATGAGATCTTCAAAGATGCGTTGTGCAATTTTAACAGGGAACTACGTAGAACGAGGGAAATGTACTTTTCTGAAACTATTGAAGGCTGTAGCAACAATCTACGTGTTCTGTTTTCAACAGTAAATAGATTGACGAATCCCCCTGTTAAGATGCCATCAGAACTTACTTCCAAATCTAAATGTAATGAGTTTGCTCAGTTCTTTAATGACAAAGTCCAAGGTATCAAAAACGCCATCACCTCCACGATAGAAATAATAATCCAACCGCCAGTGAGGCTTTTTGGGCTGACGCACTTTACACCAGTACAAATTGAAACTGTCCAGGAGATAATCACTAGTCTGAGTTCCTCCACATGCAGCCTGGATGTATTACCTCCTAGATTTCTCAAGTCAGTTCTGAGCAGTCTTTTACCTTCACTTACACAAATAGTAAATATGTCTCTTGAATCTGGAACATTCCCAATGGCCTTGAAAACGGCGGTCATCAGGCCCCTCCTAAAAAAGAGGAGTCTGGAAGCCCTGGCACTCAAAAATTATCGGCCCATTTCAAATCTGCCTTTCATGGGAAAAATTCTAGAAAAAGTTGCCTATAAACAACTTACAGAATTTTTAATAATCAATAACGCTTATGATATGTTCCAGTCAGGGTTTAGACCCCACCACAGCACTGAGACCGCGCTAATAAAGCTAACAAATGACATCAAACTAAACACTGACGCAGGAAAAGTCTCAGTCCTTTTTCTGTTAGATTTAAGTGCTGCTTTTGACACTATTGATCATGGCATCCTCATTCAGAGACTTGAGGACTGGGTTGGTGTTGCTGGCACCGCCCTAAGCTGGTTTAGGTCCTATTTACAAGACAGAAAGTTTTTTGTGGAGATCGAAAACTGTACCTCAGACCACTTGGCCCTGACCTGCGGAGTGCCACAGGGGTCAATCCTGGGTCCTCTTCTGTTTAATATTTACATGTTGCCTCTAGGTCAGTTGATTCACAGTAATAATGTCTCTTATCACAATTACGCTGACGATACTCAGGTCTATGTGTCCCTGACAGCAGGAGAGCATGAACCAGTGGACTCGCTCCTTCACTGTGTCCAGCAAATCGGTGATTGGATGCAAAATAACTTTCTCCAACTAAACACCGACAAAACTGAAATAATTGTTTTCGGACCCCAGAAACAAAGAGAGAGCGTTATTTGTCACCTCCAGGCTCTCTCTCTACAACCCTCAAATCAGGTCAGAAATCTAGGAGTGATAATGGACTCAGACTTAAATTTCAAAAGCCACATAAAATCTGTAACATCAGCAGCTTATTACCACCTAAAAAACATTGCTAAAATTAAAAACATAGTGTCTAAGGCAGACTTGGAGACTCTTATACACGCTTTTGTCTCCAGTCGGTTAGACTATTGCAATGGCCTGCTCACAGGTCTGTCCAAACAGGCTGTAAAACAGCTGCAGTACATTCAACATGCAGCAGCTCGAGTCCTGACCAGAACTAGGAAGTACGACCACATTAGTCCAGTTCTCAGGTCTCTGCACTGGCTTCCTGTTCCTCAGAGAATAGACTTCAAAGCAGCTTTACTTGTGTACAAGTCTCTCCATGGTCTCGCGCCAAGGTACATCCATGACATGTTTGTGCCATATGAACCGACCCGGACTCTGAGGAGCACAGGGACTGGACTCCTGTTAGTGCCCAGAGTCGGTACTAGACATGGGCAAACTGCATTTCAGATTCATGCGGCTAGAGTCTGGAACAGTCTTCCTGAGAATGTGAGACAGGCGTCTACTCTGGCATCTTTTAAATCTAGGCTCAAAACAATTCTGTTTAGCTGCGCATATACAACTGAATGATTTTATCTTTTCATCTTTGTTTTTATCTTTAATCTTTTTAATGCACTGTGACTATTTATGATTTTAGTCCCATCTGTGATTTTAATGTTTAAAGGTTTTTAATTTTTGTGATTTTATTTTTAATGTTTTTAATATATCTTGTGCTCTTAATGTGTTTGATTTATGCATGATGTGATAGGGGATGTGAAGCGCTTTGCGTTGCATTGTGTAGGAAAGGCGCTCTACAAATAAACGTTGATTGATTGATTGATTGATAAACATTTAAATCATAAACATCTAAATCATAAACATTTAAATCATAAACATTTAAATCATAAACGGTGGTTACGGAGCTGAGGGCGCCAAACCTGCTGGTGCAAGCTGGCTACTGTGGTTCACGAAAAAGGAAACAGATGTGACTATACCTGGTGGTATATATTAGTAATGATACAATCTTCATGACAAAAATGATAAACATAAACATGATGATGGTGGCGAGAATGAGGATAAACTCTAATGATATTATAGCATAATATTTATAATTTTTGTTGTTGTTGTTAAAATAGTAGTAGTGTTACTGACCAGTCAGCTTAAACAAATTAATGAGTATATAGATGGGGTGGGAGTTCATAAGTCTTACTTGTTCCCACTCCATTTCAGGTCAAGATAGATAGATACTTTATTGATCCCCGTAGGAGAAATGCAGGTGTCCAGTAGCAGCAAAAATAAAATTGATCATTCTAAAAAGCTAATAATAGGACGGGTCACAGCAGCAGAGGTGGAGTACCCTCTGGGTGGAGTAGGACTGGTCAAAGCAGCAAAGGTGGAGTAGCCGCTGGGTTCGGACCATTTTCTCTGCTCTAGTGAATTCTTTAGTTGTAGCACAATCAAACAATCAATTCTACCTGGATCTGCATAGTATCACAGTAAAAGCTAGTCTCACGTTTTCAGGAAGACTGTTCCAGACCTTAGCTGCATATATCACTAATGGGATTGTTTTTCTGGTTCTAGTCAGGAATCAAGCTATTCAAGCGTTTTGAATATACTGCACCTGTTTTACAGGTCGTTAAAGTAGTCTAACCTACTGCTGTGACAGGGGCAGACGTATTGCAAAGGTGGTTGTATCTAGATTTGCAAAGATAATATCTAAATAAAAACACTAAAGGATCACAGATTCTTGAATGATCCGTTTACTTTTCAATGCAAGTCAATAGGAGCCAGAACAAGTTGAATCAAAACTTCCCTATTGAGCTTCAGGGAAAATTTGATGGACAATTTTATTTGAAGCCCAAAAGGTAAGTTCCTCTGATCCATACTGTATATAGATCTATATACAGTATGGTTCAGAGGATGGTAAAGTGTTTGACATCATGTTTTTTTGTGCGTGTCTTTTTTAAAGAGCTTTCAAACTACTCCACAATGACAGAAATAGTTCAAACCAAAACGCAGAAAAACATAATCATAGCTGAATAAAGACATTATGTCACTATCACCAACGCTGGATTTTGTTCCTTTCACATACCTACATACACAACAACTGTAACTGAGCTCCAGTGACAAAAATAGCAGAGCTATTTGTTTCTCAGCAGTAACAAATAAACAGTGGAAAAATTTGACAATTTGAAATATTATCAAGCGGCAACAGATGAGTCATTTCCATTAGACCAACACATCACAAACATAAAGAAGCAATTTCTACAACTAAAAGAACTCAGTGTTACTCTTCATCTTTATTGTTGCTATTTTTGATAATTATGTTGAATGCACTAACCTGATTTTTTTGACATGCTGGACTCAACTCACAAAAGGGAAGAAAACTAAAGTGAAAAGGTACTGCTAACTGCATCAAATGTGTATTGGTTTGTGATGTTTGGTTAAAAAAACAAAGTCTCACAATCTTAAAAAGCTTTAAAACAGCAAGAAAAGTGAAGCAGGGTGTACAGCCACTCAGCTCTTATTCCAGTATCATGGCAGTGTAACAAGTCAAATGCATAGTGATTGGCAAACAACACAGAGGCTAGGAAGCTCTTTCTTAAGCAGACCTCTTCAAAACTGATATTTACAGTCTATATTCGAAACAATGCGTTGGAGCGGGTATCAGAACAAGCCAGTCATGTGACAAGTGAGTCCTGGACTCCGCCGCCACTGATTCACCGATTCAACGGTGTCTGTTTGACAGCTTTTAGTGGATAACATTGACAGTAGTGGATAGGCGCTTAATAGTTGCATAAATGATGCATCAATATTTCTTTACAATGTTAGGGTAGTAGGGTAGTAAGGAGACAGAGTGTTGGTTATTTTTAGGGATGTCCCATTTCTATTTTGAGATCAGGCCAATTGACTAAGCAGGGATCGGCTAAACTGTCCGATCCACTCGCCCTGATCTTTAAATCGTGCCGTATTGCATGCTTCTCAGACCGTGTTTTGCACTGTTAAGCTATTTGTGAATATTTGATATCTTTGTCACAGTACCAACCAAAGAGATTGTATAATTTCTTACTTTTGCCTAAAAGGATAAACTGAGGCTGATACTAGCATACATATCAATGTAAACAGTCTTGTAAAATATCAAGTTTACATGCAAAAAATTTAGTTTTATAAATTAAAATACCAATAATAAAAAGCATTGGATTGGGACTCAAAATTGGATCGGATTTGAAGTTTAATAATCAGATTGGGACTGGAGGCGAAAAATAGTGATCGAGACATCCCTAGTGATTTTGGTGACTTTAATGGCATCTGCGAGTGGAAAACGAGATCCATGGTTTGGGATACATCATCTTATTCACCCTAACAAGGTAAGGCAAGGCAAGGCAAGGCAAGGCAAGTTTATTTGTATAGCACAATTCATACACAAGGCAACTCAAAGTGCTGAACAAGATAGCATTAAAATCATAAATAATCACAGAACATTAAAACGAAAGATAAAAATATAAAATCCCTCAGTTGTATGCACAGCTAAACAGCACCGTTTTTAACTTGGTTTTAAACATTGTCAGAGAGGAGGCCTGTCTCACATCTTCAGGAAGATTGTTCCAGATTTTAGCAGCATGAATCTGAAAAGCAGCCTCCCCATGTTTAGTTCTGACTCTGGGCACTAACAGGAGTCCAGTCCCTGTGCTCCTCAGAGTCCGGGCTGGTTCATATGGGACTAACATGTCACTAATATATTTTGGTGCGAGGCCATGGAGAGACTTGTACACAAGCAGAGCTGTTTTAAAGTCTATTCTCTGAGCCATAGGAAGCCAGTGCAGGGACCTGAGGACTGGACTAATGTGGTCGTACTTCCTGGTTCTAGTCAGGACTCGAGCTGCTGCATTTTGAATGTACTGCAGCTGTTTTACAGCCTGTTTGGACAGACCTGTGAGCAGGCCATTGCAGTAGTCTAACCTACTGGAGACAAATGCATGGATAAGAATCTCCAAGTCTGCTTTAGACACTATGTTTTTGATCCTGGCAATGTTTTTTAGATGGTAAAAAGCTGCTGATGTTACTGATTTGATGTGGCTATTAAAATTTAAGTCTGAGTCCAGTATTACCCCTAGATTTCTGACCTTGTTTGAAGGTTTTAGGGAGAGAGACTGTAGATGACAGATGACGCTCTCTCTTTGTTTCTGGGGACCAAAGACAATCATTTCAGTTTTGTCTGCGTTTAGCTGAAGGAAGTTGTTTTGCATCCACTCACTGATCTGTTGGATACAGTGAAGGAGTGAGTCCACTGGTCCATGTTCTCCTGCAGTCAGTGAGACATAGATCTGAGTGTCGTCTGCATAGTTGTGATAGGACACTTTGTTTCTGCGTATTAACTGACCTAACGGCAGCATGTAGAGATTGAACAGAAGAGGTCCCAGGATCGACCCCTGTGGTACTCCACAGGTCAGGGCCATATGATCTGAGACACAGTTTCCAATCTCCACAAAGTACTTCCTGTCTTCAAGGTAAGACCTAAACCAACTTAGGGCGGTGCCAGCGACTCCAACCCAGTCCTCTAGTCTCTGTAAGAGGATCTCATGGTCGACAGTGTCAAAGGCAGCACTTAGATCTAACAAGATTAGGATTGAGACTTTGCCTGCGTCAGTGTTCAGCCGGATATCATTTGTAACCTTGACGAGAGCAGTCTCAGTGCTGTGGTGGGGTCTAAAGCCGGACTGAAACATATCAAATGAATTGTTGATTATAAGAAATCTAGTAAGCTGTAGGTAGACAACTTTTTCAAGGACTTTCCCCATAAATGGCAGATTTGAGATGGGACGATAGTTGTTAAGTACCGTAGCATCGAGACTGCTCTTTTTTAGCAGGGGCCTGATGACTGCAGTTTTCAGGGCCTTTGGGAATATTCCAGAATTAAGGGACATGTTTACTATCTGTGTGAGTGAAGGTAACAGACTGCTCAGAACAGACTTTAAAAATCTAGTGGGTAGTACATCCAGGCTGCATGTGGAGGAGCTCAAACTGGAGATTATTTCTTGGACAGTTTGATCATTTACAGGTGCAAAGTGAGTTAGCTCAAAGAGCCTTTCTGGCTGTTGGATTGTTATCTGTGGATTGGAGACAATGGCGTTTTTGATGCCTTGAACCTTGTCATTGAAAAAATGTGCAAACTCATTACATTTACGTTTGGAAGTTAGCTCTAATGGCATTTGAACAGGGGGGTTTGTTAATCTATTAACTGTTGAAAACAGAACACGCAGATTGTTGCTGCAGCCTTCAATCATTTCAGAAAAATACCTTTCTCTCGTACTACGTAGCACCTGGTTAAACTCGCACAACTTATCTTTGAAGATCTTGTAATCAACCTGGAGATTGGAATTGCGCCACTTCCGCTCGGCCCTCCGGCACTCTCTCTTTTGTGCCCTGACCGAGTCTGCTTTAGCCCACGGCGCCTTCTGCTTATTTTTCACTATTTTAACCTTCACAGGAGCGATGGTGTCCAGAACTTTCAAAACACTAGAGGTGACAGAGTTAAACAGTTCATCTTTAGTAGAATACGATGCATTCTCAAAGTTTATCATTCCCATAAATAGTTCACCCGTATTTTCATTTATGTGTCTTCTTCGTACAGTTGCAGAGTCCACTGGTGGTTTGTTAGAGAAACACATGTCAAAAAATATACAAAAATGATCCAAAAGCGCAACATCAACCACGTTTACATTAGAAATGTTCACCCCTTTGTAACTAACAGGTCTAGAGTGTGCCCTCTGCTGTGGGTGGGGCCACTCACATGCTGAGTGAGACCAAAAGATTCAAGAACAGAACTCAGATCTTTAGCATTTCTGTCATCAACATTATCCACATGAATATTAAAATCACCTGTAATAACTAAACTATCAAAATCTGTGCATACAACTGAAAGCAACTCTGTAAAATTATCAATAAAACTGTGACATGACTGCGGTGGCTTGTATAGGACAACGAAATGTATTGGAGATTGTTTTTGTTGTATTTTAAAAGACACATATTCAAAAGACGGAAACTTCCCAAGAGACATTCTATGGGAGACAAAGTGGTCTCTGAAAATGGCAGCTAAGCCTCCTTCTTTTTTGTTTTCCCGTATTTCAGATTCAAATTTGAAATTTGGTGGTGATGCTTCTATTAAAACTGCATTTTCTGTATTTTGGTCAAGCCATGTTTCAGCCATGAACATAAGATCTAGATTATAAGAACAAATAAAATTATTGATTAAAAAAGACTTGTTACAAAGAGATCTGACATTTAGCATAGCAAGTTTCAAAGTTTCAGTATCAGCGGTTGTGGTTGGCTGATTCTTACACGGAACAAGAATTAGATTTTCCTGATTAGACAGATTAACTTCAGATGTTTTTCTGTTATGTATTCTTTGTGTTATCACTACTTTTGATGAGGTATTGTCTCATCAAAAGATTTTTACAACTAAGGATTGTTTAGCAACTATGCTTCATGGTGAAATTGTCATTATTATTAAAAGCGGTGCCGTGTGTGCTGTGCATTCAAGTATTCAGAAGCTGCAATTTTCCATTTTTCCACTAGATATCAGTGTTCGAAGGTAGTATGAGCTAGCTTGGAGGCACCGACACATTCGAAAAAACGTCCGGTGTGTTACGGGGCTTAATCTGCCCATCACTGCAAATACAATATAGGCATAGTATTTAGCTTTATCAAGGAATGTAATAACCTGACAAATAGACAATGTTGCTTTTTATCACAGTATTATCTTGGTCATAAAACGAGATATACAATAGATGAGTATGTTTACAAACCCGACAACAAGAAGAGTCCTGAATGAGCCTTCATGCACATTTCAAGCCACAAACCTGTTTGATCTTATTCCGTGAGCTGGTGATCCGCTCTGTGATGCTCTGGTACGTCCTGATTGCAGTGGTGAGCTCAGCATAATGTTGTACTATGAGTTCATCCAGATCTCTGTCACACGTCTCAAAGGCCTCTTCCAGTCTCCCCTTCTCTGTCTCTCTGTCCTGAACGTCATCACTGTTGGACAGGGTTCTGCAATGGCACAGAAATCACAACTTACTTTTGTTTTTGTTTTTTTATTCAAACAAGTCAGCATCTGTCTGTCATAAGATACATTTTTGTAACAGTCCAATGTTCACCTTAGTTCCTTAGCTATCTATCACAAGTTATTAGAGGTTGTAATAGCATCATGCACTGTCCACAGTATATTTTGAATGGAAATGAAGAATTGCACTAATACTGTCCATCCATCTATTACTTTTCTTCTGCTTCATCCATTGACAGGTCGCTGGGCAGTTGTCTAAGCAGAGACGCCCTGATCTCCTTCTTCCAGCTCATCCGGGGGCAACCCAAGGCGTTCCCAGGCCAGCTGGGAGACACAGTCCCTCCAGCATGTCCTGGGTCTTCCCGGGTCTCATCCCGGAGGAACGTGTCCGGAACACCTCCCACTGGCATTACTTACTATTTATCGTAATATTGTGGGGGGAAACAATTGTTCATTAGTCAGCAAAGAAAGACAAGGACAAGAACTGAACTAGCTATGCTTCTGCAGTGACAGCTCTTCATCAATCCGCAAAAAAACTAAACACATTGCCAGAAAAACGTTTTTCTTCACCAAATGTTAATTGACTAAATGTAGCAAATTATATTTTTCAGAATCAGGAAAATTCCTAACGTTATAGTCATTTAAAATGAAAATAGATGTGACGGACGTGACAGCATGTATTTAGCATGTAGGCTAGCAGTCATCTCAAACCTGTGCACAAATGTGATTTGTGGCCGCCTGGACGCTTCAATGAAAATTCCAATATGATGAAAACATGCCTACCGTATAACAGAGATGAGAAGACCAGAGGGATCTTTGTTTTTGGTCACAGCACCTTTGAATCTTCCAGTATCTGCCATCTTTACAGCTGCGGCACCCAAACAGGAAGTCATAAGCGCGAGGATGCAGTGGAGGTTTGTGGGAGCTGTAGTTCAGCGCTTTCAGTTATTATTAGAGATAGATTATGTATTTCTTTATTTTTGTTATTTATTCTTTATGGATTCTTGGAAAGATCAGTTTGCAACCACAGTAATTCACTTCAAAATCATTTAGTTTAAGCGACTTTCAAATATTATATTTTATATAAATATATTATAATATATATATTATATAATATTTATATTTTATATAAATATAAAATATTGTTTATATTTTTTAGGTAGAGATGACTTGAGATAAAATCGTAGATTGAAAGATATATAGATAGATAGATAGATAGATAGATAGATAGATAAATAGATAGATAGAAAGCCGCCCCAACATGTGACCCCAAAGAACATGGCACTAACCATAGACCAGGGGTCTCCAACCTGTAGCCCGGGAGCCACCAGTAGCTCGCCAGTCCCTTACAGGTAGCTTGCCAAAGGAAATAGAATTTAACAAATACATTTAAGCGAATATCTTTTGAGCCATTACATATCTATTATAAGTATAGATATAGGGTTATACAGTATTATGGTGTATTTTATATGTCTTACATGTTTTGTTTTAATTATTAGATAGGAGAAGCTCTCTGTCTCTTTGTTTGTATAAAAGTTACTCTCCGGTTGAAAAAGGTTGGAGGCCCCTGTCATAGACTGAAAATATTAACAACAGACAACCACTACAGCTACAACAGACTGGTAAAACATGTGAAACATCTGACTGCTCACATCAAAGGATCAGTCTTCTCAGGAATCATATAGCTTTTTATGAGAATTGAATCGATTGTGATGAGAATTGATAATACATCTTTTGAATTAAAAATGTAACGTGTGTTCCACATAATTTATAAAAGACTGAAAAATAACTTGGATAGCTTGTTTGATTGTCTTAAAGGAGCTATTGACCAGATGCATCGACGTCATCCAGTCACGTGATTGTGAATGAGCTTACGCCGGAAGTAGTGGAAACTAGCATTGTGGCGATAGCAAAACAGACTACAACTCTTAAAAACTGAGACTCCTCTCCTAAATCGTGACGTGGCTTCTTCAAGCAAATGTTTGATTACGTTTTCGGTGAAAGTAGGACATCTTGTCAGGGATCACAAAGAGCGGTATTTGGAGGAGTTAAGGATCGCTGAGCTGGATGTTGACTCGTACCTTCTCTCCCCAGTCAATTTTATCGATTAAATGGAATATCCAATTTTGCCTGAGTTCACCCCACATGATCTTTATCATTATGTCGTTAACAATGCATCCCCTCACACTGGAGCAGATTTAAATGTACATTTTGCTGCTAGCATTAGCACATTAGCAATGCACTTTTCTGTCTACAGTCAAACATACATATTGACAGAGAGGAAAACAGTGAAAAACGCAACTGACGTATAAGATAAGATAAGAAATCTTTTATTTGTGCCACAGTGAGAAAATTTCAATCTTGCAGTGCACATACAGGACAGTATGAGCATACGTTCGACTTCAAGCGTTTTTTGTGTCATTGTCCTTGTGAGGTAGTGTAGCATGAGTGGTCCACGTGGCGGAAGAACAAAAACAAAGGCCCCAAAACATGTAACAAAAAGGTGAATTTATTTACAGTGCTCCCAAATATACAGGTTCTTTCTCCAAGCCCAACATGGAGAGTGAATCTCCCTCTCTTTCTTCCCAAACAGCCAGCACACACCTGACATATATACATGGCCTAAATTGATTGGCTCCTCCCACTTCGTCACAGTCCTCCAAATAAATTAATGGAAAAAGAATAAATAAAAAATTGTTTATCTTGTAAAAAGTGTTCACTGAAAATTTGGGAGTACTTGGATGGCTCCCAGTCCTTTTGGTTGATTGCCGCTGGCCATCGTCGTCTTCTGTCTTCATGACGAGCAGGTATCAGATAAAACGACACATTTGGCTTATGTCCTTACCTGTTAGTACGACCAACCACACTGCCAAATATCACAGTTTTGGCTGTTATTCGGTGAAACAGGTTGTTTTGGTAAAGTTTCCAAAGGCTCGCAGTTAGACTTCCGCCGTCTCTCATGGAGAGTGGGCGTGGCTGGGACGTCACATGCAAGGGGTCCATACCCGTTTCTGCAAGTTTTTTTTTTTCAGTTTTTGTTTTTTTTTTCAGCTCCTACGAAGCCATCTAGCTTTATTTGCGATCTGATACAAATGCAAACATTATAATTAGTACAACTTCTTGTAAGCTGTACCACAATCACTGATGAAATGGTACAAAAGCAACGCACTGCTAACAAAATATATAACTGAAAGATAACCACTAGTTTTGCGTCCAAATGTAGTCTGAGGCGGTCCCGCTCCCGCAGGTCTCTACAGAGGATACGATGTAAGCTAACGCCACGTATATTCAACCTGGCTTGATTTCTTCTTTGATAATTTTTTTGCTTTAGTTCTCTCTTCTCTTCCTCACTGTTGCGTTGTTTAGGCTGTTTTGCTGTGTATGCAGTTACAGCAAGAGGAGTTATAGCCACTTTCTGCTGCCATGCTGCTGTGTTTACCTGCGTCGTAGACGCAAGAGGAGGCAGCCTGTTCGTAACACCGCCGCTCCTTGTTGTGTGTTTGGAGGAGAGCTAGCGTAACAGATTCAGATTCAGTTTATTTGCCATTTGCAGTAAAAAACCACATTGGAATACATTAGCAGAAGTCTCCAGTGTGCACAGACAAATACAGACATAAAACAACATTAAAAGACAAAAATAAAACAAATATTACAGTAAACAAATGTCACTGTGAAATCGATCGACTAAAACAGTTCAAAACAAGTGCAAATCATTAAAGTGCTCTGTTCACACTGATAACAGCTTGTGGATAAAAACTGTTAGCGTAACGAGATGTCCTGCATCTCAGAGAGCGATATCTTCTGCCAGAGGGAAGAAGCTGGAACATGGCTTTCCCAGGGTGGCCAGAAGAGTCATTGACAATCCTAAGAGCTTTGTTTAAAAGTCTGGATTTATAAAGAACCTCCAGAACAGGAAGCTCACAGCCCACGGTCCTCTTTGCAGAGCGGAGCACCTTGTTTAAAGCTCTCTTTTCTTTATCTCTGATGTTTCCAAACCACACAGACACAGAACCAACAAGTAAACTCTCAATGGTGCAGCGATAAAAGTTAAGCAGAATCTTAGAGTTAGTGGTAAATTCTTTAAGTTTACGCAGAAAGTAGAGACGCTGACGAGCTTTCTTAACGACTCGGTCAGTGTTTTTAACCCATTTCAGGTCGTTAGACAGAGTTAAACCCAGAAACTTGCACTCCTCTACGATCTGCACCTGGGAGTTGTCGATTACGACAGGCAAATGAGAATTAATAGTTACCTAATGTAACTTAAGTTCTACGAATAGGTGCGTAGTCCCTTAGGACTTCGCTAGTGGGATATCACTCATGACCCCCAGGTCACACGCCAGAGAGATCAAAATAATTTGCTCCAATCACCAGCCACCCTCCTCTATAAATGCCCCTGCACAAGGCCGCACCCCCTCTTGAACTCTGCCAAGCCGGGCTGGCCTGATGGGCTCGTAGCTAAGGGACTACGCACCTATTCGTAGATCTTAAGTTACATTAGGTAACTATTAATTCTACGTCATGGTGCTACGTCCCTTAGGACTTCGCTAGTGGGACACAACGCGGAGGCCGTAGGAACATGTACTCCCAGCAGGCCAGCGAAGGGTGATTGGAGCTCCGCCCGAGCAAGACCCTCACACAGTGAGGGGACTCAGGGCAGAAGAAACAATGCGTGTTACAGGGCCACTCCTACCAAGGATACCCCCACGTAACACCGATGTAGGTCATCCGTAGTCACAGGACGCCTCTCCCAAGGGCTCCTGACGTGGACTACCTGACCGACCAAACACACATATATGTACCGCACCTGTAGGATGCCTCTTAGCCTGGCCATTGCCATCCGTAAACTCCGGTCAAATCTTTTTTCCCGGGATGTACGTCTGGGTTTGCTCCCACTGGCTGCGATTCAATCGGTAGAATTTCATCCTACCATTCAGCGAGCGGGGGAGGCGGGTGTTGTAGGTGACGTCAAGCATTTGCGCCGGTTGTAGTCACTGTAGTTTGGCAATGGCGGCATATGCAAAAATAAACGAAGCTCTTCAATCCATTCTGGCTTTGCTCCCAAATATCCAGAAATTGAAGTCGGAGCAAGAGAAATGTTTAGCAAATTTCATTGCTGGTAAAGATGTCATGGCTTTACTCCCCACGGGATTCGGCAAAAGCCTTATTTTCCAATTAGCTCCGTTAGTGGTGAAGGAGATAGCTAGGCTGAATGCTAGTGAAGCTAATCCTATCGTTGTAGTCGTTTCCCCTCTTTTGGCTTTAATGGAGGATCAAGTCAAGGAGGCTGAGAAGTTGGGAGTTAGTGCTGGACAGCTCGATATGCACGACGATCGTGACATTTTGGAAGGACATTTCAGCCTGGTATTTGGGAGCCCTGAGTCTTGGCTACTCAACTCCAAATGGCGACGAATGCTAACCTCGTCTGTTTACCAAGACAACATCATTGGCATCGTCGTTGATGAAGTCCATGTTACATATAAGCTAAATGGTAAGTGAACTTTAAAACAGCAGAAATTAGGCTTTTTTGCATACTCAATTGGGTAGACTATTGTTGCTTGATGACAATTTTGCATTCCGTTTCTTTTGTCTCAGGGGTGAAGCGTCCAAAGGCGAGTAACCATTCCGAGAGAGTTTTTCTAAACTTGGTGAGCTGAGATCCATCATGAAGGAAGGTGGGTTGAATGTTTTCTGTGTTGTTCCTGCTTGACATGTTAACAAATCCGTGCCCTGGATTCAGTGCATTGTTGTTAAGAGTAACGTTAGTACACACTCGACTGTACAGTACTAAACGTACTGTGCATTCAGTAAAAGGAAGTTAAAAAACATGCAGTAAGAGACATGAAAAATGCTGCAATCTTAT